AATTATTATTAAAATTGCTATTTTTATTATGATGTCTAAGCATGTCTAGGAGAGCTAAGAGATAGACAAATGTCCAATGACCGTCGTACGCCTAATGTGCCTCTGAACCTCAATAATTATAGCAAACTTTGAGTGCATCTTATAAATTTGATCACTTATATTTTGGTATAATTGATTACATCAATAAAGCGATCAATCAAAGAGTCTTTCTTTAAGATTTTGATAAGATGTCCCCTACTGCATAATTAGTATGACTAAATTGTACTAAGATAATCATGTATTGAATTTTGAATCGATAGCGCAAAAGATTGTACTAACTCAAGTAGAGTTTTAGCTACTCAGTACTTCATATTCGCATGTAGATAGCTATTTCGAAGAGTTCGAATATTGATTGAGTTTGTTGAACTTTACCTAACGAAACTATGATATTAAGTGCAATATATTATGCTTTTAGGAGAAATTGGGAGAATATGTTGGTGACATCAAACCTAACATGGATACCATTGAATTTAAGTGATAAGCAACATTTATGTTTAATAGATTAGACATGAAAAATATATTTAGCATTCTCATAAGTTGGTATGAAGAAGTGAATAATTAGGAATTGAAAGCTAGAAATAAAGTTGATTTAATAAATAACTGCAAATGATATTGTGAAAAAAAAAAACAAATGCTTAGAGCATAGCTAGGCATGAGAGTGTTACATTAAACTCTCTAAGAGAAAGCAAGTAACCATTAATAGTCAACTGTGGATATTGAAATAGTTAACTATGATGAATACTATATACTGGTGTTAATACTTGGACTTTAGCTTGAACATTGCATCATGCTGATAAAAATTATTTCATTAATTACATTATTGAAATAAGGGGTCGTATGGAAGTTTTGATTGTTTTTTTATATTGTTAAAATAAATACATTTTTCATAATACAATACATTTATTTTTATTTTTTTTCATACACAATCGTGTATTATTTGCTTGTTTTGACTAAACTATCATTCAAATTGAATGATTAAACAATTTCGAATTTTAGGAGATAATTGGTATCGGTGTTTGTCATTTTTATTTATCTTGAAATGTATGGTACCAGTGTCCTTATATCGTCATTGAACACTTCATTCAACACTTCAATTCAATGCGCAATATTCCAACCAATGATATTAGTGTTGAGATTTTAAGATTATCCTTCATTTATAAGTTAGAAAAAATTATAAATTAATTATTAAAATGTGAAAATAGAAGTATCAAACTCCACAAAATACTTACAGGAGACTTAGCGGGCTAACTAACTGTGATAGAAAAGTACTTTGTTTTTCATAATTTTAACTTCCTTTATGTTTTGTATTAATAAAGTACAACAAATGTGTCCAGTCTAATTGGTTACAATTCTTGTCTTTTGTGGAAGGGACCATGGTTCAAATCCTAGCATTGATATCTTTTTATATGAAATAAAAAAATGATTGTGTAGACGAAAAGGGAGTTGCTAAAGGTCGCCCTTAGAATTGCTAAAGGTCGCCCTAAAAAAGTTTAAAGTTACACTTATAACCCCCTATCTTCTTTACCTTCCTTTTATCAAACAAACACCACTTGACCTAAAAAAACACTATCTAAGGAGAGAAAAATCCACCATCGTCATTTTGAAGCCGATATCGTCGGTAGGACGTCTGAATCATGAGTAGCGACTCCGACGAGGTAAATACCGAAACTGAATTACGAAAAAAAAAAAAAACCAAAAAATGCCCAACCGCAATTGACCTGCGGTTGAACCATGGCCGAACCGCAAATCCCCTGCGGTTGATCCATGGCTGGACCGCAATTGACCTGCGGTTGGACCATGGCTGGACCGCAAATCACCTGCGGTCCAGCCATGGTCCAACCGCAGGTCAATTGCGGTCCAGCCATGGTCCAACCGCAGGTCACTTGCGGTTGGGCATTTTCTGGTTTTTTTTTTTCGTTGAATAATTTTCTATTTTTTATATGATTTATGATTTGTTCCATGAGATAATTTGTTGGGTTTTGATTTATATAATTTTCTAGATTTATTTGCATAATTATTTTTGGAATTGAAGGATTTAGCATTAGAAATTAAGATTAGATTTGGCCTTAAATTAAGATTAGATTTAATTTGGTCTTAATCTAGAAAATTAAGATTAGATTTTGCATTACAAATTAAAATTAAATTTATTGCATAAATAATAGATTCGCATTAAAAATTAAGATTAGATTTGGCCTTAAATTAAGATTAGATTTAATTTGGTCTTAATCTAGAAAATTAAGATTAGATTTTGCATTACAAATTAAGATTAAATTTATTGCATAAATAATATATTCGCATATGAAGATTAGATTTAATTTGGTCTTAATCTAGAAGATTAAGATTAGATTTTGCATTACAAATTAAGATTAAATTTATTTTATCATATGGTACTCATTAAATTGACGATATAGAATGTTAAGTTTTTTTTTTTTAATTTGTGGGGTATCACTTATAAATTCTGATAACATTGCAGGATATTGGAAGTTACAATCCTGATGGTCATGATTACACCTCGGATTTCATTGATGGCGTGAAATACACTACGGAGTTGCAAGCATATGAAGCAGCTACTGAGATTGCCAAGGGTTTTGGGTTTTATTTGGTGAGGGCATCAAACAAAAAAAAATAAGAATGAAGGTACTTGGCGACATTACTTACATTGCACTCATGGTAGGAAGAAGAAGTCGACGGAACCTGATCCGAGTAAGGAAAGGAGGCCTCTTACATCTACTGAAAAGTTGGGGTGCGAGTTTCAGATCAAGCTTGAGCGGTCAGGTGATGGATATTGGTTGATCCTAGGGGTGGCAAATACAAAGAATCCTGGTGCTAATTTGGGTTTCCACAATCATCAGTTGGAGCTATTTCCAGAAGGATCAAAGGGAAGGAATGTTTTGACTACAGAGGATAAGCAATACATCAGAGAGCTGAGATCAGCCGGTGTCCCACCAAGGAATATCCACAAGGCAGTGAATGAGAGAAAAGGTGCAAATGGAATACACAACAGAAAGCAGATTTATAACGAGTTGCAAAAGATAAGGAAAGAAGAGCTTGGTCAGATGACAGCCTTACAGTATACTTTCCGCGTGGCGCAGGAGAAGGGTTACTATGTGCAGTATATGGACGATCGTAACGTGCTTACACACTTGTTCCTAGCCCACCCTGAGTCAGTAGTGATGTTGCGAGCTTGGCACCATGTGATCGTGATAGATGCAACATACAAGACCAATAAGTATGATATGCCTTGGGTTGAGATTGTCGGCATGACACCAGTGGGATTGAACTTTGTCATTGCATCTGCAATAGTGTACGACGAGACGAAGGAGTCGTACCAGTGGCTTCTGACGCATTTGCAACATCTTCTTGGCCCCATTGTTCCATATGTGTTTGTCAGTGACAAGGCAGGAGGATTGGTTGAGACCGTGGGGGTAATGTTTCCATCATCGACTCATATATTATGTCTTTGGCATATGGATAGGAATGTGAGAGCAAAGTGTCTAGCGGAGGTGAGAAGGACGACTCATTGTGGTATAGATGCAGCCAAACCGACAGTGGATCATATCATGGCGTCTTGGCAACGTGCTGTATATGCATTGACAGTGGAAGACATGGATACTGCCTTAGACAATTTCAGACGTGGTTGGGGAGTACAGTACCGACGTCTTTGGGGGTATATGACAGCTGAGTGGTTACCAGTTAGACACATGTGGGCTAAATGTTATACCAATCAACTGCGGCATTTGGGTAACACAAGCTCTAATAGGGTTGAAGCTGCCCATTCCTCCTTCAAGAAGTGGCTTCAATCATCTACTGGCGCAGTCGACACGGTTAGTCTCCTAGTAAATCTTCATTGATACACACATAAGTTTTAGTAGTCTCCTAATTGTTCTTCATTGTATGTAGGTATTCAAGAAGAACGATGATTACATTGAGGCTCAACACCTTCAAATCAGGAAGCTTCTAGAGGATTCCCGACAAAAGAAGCTGCTCCGAGCGGATGGAAAACCATTTCGAGAGTTGAATACAAAAGTCACTCTAGAAGCTCTGAGGTTGATGTTGTTCGAGGTAGCAGTTGAAGGGGAACCTTGTACATGTACGTTTACTCCTACCTATGGTCTCCCATGTAGATGTTCCATTCAGTTAGCACGACGTGAAAATCGGGATTTCGCCTTGTATGATGTGTTGGCATTCTGGACCGTTATCAACTATCGTGAACCTCCTACTCGGCCGGAGTGGGATGACCATAGTGATTACCACCGTGGTGTGTTCCAAGGTCTAGTACAGGAGGTTCTTAATAGAGGCGACGAGACCATTCGAGGTGCAATCGACCTACTCCGGAGCCATCTTCATCCTGAAAATGATGGCATTGATGAGCCGCATGGGGGACAGCCCCGCCCCGGTCGCCCAAGGACGTCCACCACTCGAAACCTATCTCACTTCGAGCATGTGGAGAGGAAACGAGGGAGGAGAAGTTCAAGACTTCCGACTGCAACTCCGGACAATGATGGAAATACAGGTAGACAAACTTTTTCTATTAGTTGTGTTCAATTGTCCTCAATATAGTGTACAGCTAATCTATTTTTTTAAATGAGATAGGTGGTGCCCCGAATGTGAATGCACAAACCAACTTCGAGAATGAGACGGAGCCGGTGATCCATAATGATACAGGTTAGAAATTATATTCCTAATTTTGGATAAATATATAGTATAACTCTTTGTATTAATTTAGTGTGTTATGCTCTTTGGCTAGATGGTGCCCCGTGGAGGGTTGCTCGGATTCCCAATACTAGTTGGAAGAATTACCCATGGCTACATTGTTTGGAATCCTACGTGCAACGACTATTTCGTGGTTGGTTCAACCCTATTCCAGATGGACACTGTGGATTTCGTGCTATATCACAAGCAGTTACTGGGGACCAAAGCAATTGGCCACAAATGAGACGCGTTGTTGTAGAGGAGCTTGAATCCCGTCCTGAGCTTTATAGAGACTACTATGATGGAATAGCAGATGGAATAGAAAATGGCATTCGACGTTGCAGGTGGGCATCAACAAGTGGCTGTGGACCTCCCAACTGGATGGATAATGCGGAACTCTTCGTCTTCGCCACCTTGCATTCATGGGCTATCATTGTATACAGTCAAGGCGGTCGTTATACCGTGCTACCTGTGACGGCCCCACCAGGGGTATTCCACAGTACAAGACCATTGTGACCTCCAAAGCTAGGGATCACATCGGGAATCACTGGTCCACCTGAACACATCGGAGACTCGGCTGTAAGAAACCACGACATATCTTTCCTCGTGGTCTTCCTCTTCCTATTTCCATCTCCGCCATCCTCGCTACTAGGTCTGGACGCATAGCGTCCATCGGGGCCACGGAAGTGGGAGGAGGCAGTAGAAGATATCCCGACCCGCGCCGTCTTCCCTACGCCTAAATCAGCTTGAGGTGGGGCATCCCCATCCTCAGCATCACCAGCAGCATCACCAGCACGATCACCAGCAGCATCACCAGCATCTGGGGCATTCCCAACCTCAGCCTCACCGTCATCATCATCATCCTCGTCAATGGAATCACTCCAATTAGCCTGCCATACCGGTGCGCTCTGTGGTGTAGGAGTACTGGTAGTACCTCGACTAAGAGACAACTGCCCCACAGTAGGGTGGCCGTCATGACGCACTACATCCGCCTTCTTTTTCTTTCTAACCTTAGGTGGATTTTTTTCTTCATTTTCCTTCTTACCAGTCGCCGTAAGTCTACAAGCACGACCTTCCATTCTCTCCTTATTTCTCGCCTTAATCATATCCGGTTTACCCATTCCATGTCCAGACATCTTCAAAAAAAAGTTTGAATTATTAATAATGGATTATTAATAATAGAGTACATAAAGTAATAAATTAAAGATTTCCATAATTAAAATTGTAAAATTAATAGTTTGAACATTTATGTTACGTTCTATGTAATCATTATTTACATAAAAGTAAATAATTCATCAAGGTAAAATTATTAATAATTAAGTAGATAAACGAATTACTTTGAAATTTTGATTATTAAAATAATAAAAATACATTTTTAATTTTTTTATTATGTTCTTTAAATTTGTTATCATTAATTAACATTTTTCGAAAACATTTTTTAAATTTTTATATAATATAACTAAATTATAACTAAATTAACATTATAACTAAATTAACATTTATCGAATACGTTATCATTAAATATAATTATAACTAAATTATTTTTATTAAGTATATTTTTTAATTTTTTTATTATTATTAAAATTAATTTAACTACAGAATAAAAACAGAATTTAAAAAAAAAACCAACCGCGGTCAACGCGCGGTTGAACCGACGGCTGACCGCGGTCAAAGCGCGGTTTGACCATTGGTCAATCGCCCTTTGACCGCGGTCAGCCGTCGGTTCAACCGCGCGTTGACCGCGGTTGACCGTCGGTCAAACCGCGATTGGACTGCGGTTGCCTTTTTTTTTTTTTTTACCTTCTTCTCCGGCGACTGTGGAACGAGATGGGCGGCGACGATGGGCGACGGCGACTGGCGGGCGATGGCGACGGAACGCGACGGCGGCGACTGTGGAGCGCGACGGCGACGGCGACGCGATGGGCGGCGGCGACTGTGGAGCGGGACGGCGACGGGACTGGCGGGCGGGAGTGCACGGCGACGGGAGTGGGCGGCGACGGGAGTGCACGGCGACGGGAGTGGGCGGCGACGGGAGTGGCGGGCGGCGGCGACTGGCGGTCGAGATCGGCGGCGGCGACGGGACTGGCGAGAGGAGTCCGGCCGGTGAGGGAGGTCGCGGGTGGTGAGAGCAGTTTTTTTTTTTTTTTTTTGACTGTAGTGGTGAGAGGAATTGGGGGGAAGTAGAATTTGAAAATTGGTAAGGGTTTGTTTGTTTAAGTCAATTGGGAGTTTTTGTTTAAGGGTATATAAGTAATTGTACATTCAAGTTAGGGCGATGTTTAGCAATTCTTAGGGCGACATTTAGCGATTCAGGACGAAAATACCCTTCCTACTTTCACTCTCGTTACAGGAAATTTGAAATGGAGCAAATCAAACTCTTTAAAATGTATTATAAGTAGTCTATAGATCTAGATTTACTTAGACTTTAGCAAAACCCCATCTGTTTTAATGTTTCAATAGTTGTAACTGCTCCATGATATAAGTTCCACATCCAATTGTTAAGAAACAAATTGATAACTCTGAGTTATTAAAGAGATCCAAGAATGGATCTAATATCATTCTCTTTCATGTTACCAACACCCACGTCAGCACATATCAGCTGGCGCAAGAATTCCCAACTCAGTACAGTCTCGTAGTCTTTATTCAACTTAAAAACTTTAGGAAATAAAGTACATTAATTAATCCATCGCCACACAGTTATTACTTTGCTAGAGCTTCTTCATCGTTCCAATACTCAGACTCAGTTGATTCTGCAATTCCAATCAACAAACAAAAACATCATCAAAACGTAAGTTAATTAAAAGATTATTCATAATCATGTTCAGAAGGAAAATATTGACCAAGCAAAAACAGAGTACACAATATGCAGAGCAGAGTACTTACGTCTGGCAGTCAATGGCCTTGGAGATAGGAATACCAATATCAACCCCGCACTTGGTCGGGAGGCTCGAAGCGGCGTCGTCCTTCACCGGGTAACGCCCGGCGGCGGCCTTGACACAGCCACAGGCAGCTCTGCGGTCGTCCACGGTGGCGGTGTTGGCCTTCAAGCTACGCACTCCGTCGCAGCACTTGGGTGCAGGGTCGCCGGCGCCAGTGGTGAGGTAAGGAACGCAAGGTATCAAGTAGGAATCCACTTGCCCACAGCTAATAATGCCCTCTTCTCCTCCTCCTGCAGGCCGGCCGGCAACCGCCAGCTGAATCATTGCCACGGCAATAAACAACACTGTAACCATTGATGAAGAAGTAGCTCCTTTCATCATTTTAGTTCTATTTTTTTCCCTCTTTGTTAAGTAACCGCTCGCTGTATGATTGTTCGAGAGATTTGGGAAAAGAGGGTGGAGATGCATCTGTTTATATAGGGCTGCTAAGTGGGTCAAGAACATGTCACGTAACAAGATTCAGTTACTCTTTTTATCTTTCAGGCTGTTTCATTTCATCAACAAAAAGGTTTCAGAGATGAGATGACACTACTCGATAGGAATGATGCGCGGGGAAGTTGGAAAATTGGGCATCCCAATGTTTGCTCTCATCAACTTCTCTTCCCCTGTATCATCCAATATTGGAACTGGCATCGATTTGTGAAATCGTACCGGTTGTAGTACCATTATGATTTAACCGGTAGTATTTGGATAGTATAACGTTGATAAACTATTACTATACGGAAATAAAAATATATATTCACTCCAAGGCTTTAGGTAGATGATGAAGCTTCGATTCTACTACCAGACCGTCCAGTTCCAACTTCCAACAAGGACATGTCTGTCGCATCAGATATTAGATTACAGAATTACACTTTCATGTCTGCTACCCAGCATTTTGAAAGGAGGGCAAAGTCAGTACAACTCGAATACAGAAGAATTGCAACAACAATCAATCAACGGTAAAATGTCCGACGAGGAAGAAAGAAAGAAATTAAAAAACAAAAAAACAAAAATTCAACTGTAAAAACCTATTGGCACATATCTAGCCTGAGACCATGGCGTTGTCGATAGCATGAAGTGCCTCATTCGCAAAGAAACGTACGTCTACATCTGGATCCTCACTCAGCTCCACCAAAGCAGGACGAATCGACTTCTCCACCACCTGCAAAATTAACAAGGTTTCAGTAACGTTTTTGAAGAATTAAAAGGCAATCCGTGGCAGAATGGGATAAGGGTATGGCTAACTGTACTTACAGACTGATCAACTATTGGAATGAGGGATTGCAGCACTTTTGCCACATTAAACTTGATGTTGGGTACCCTGCATAAATGATTCGATAATAAGAAGACCATGGAACTTGCAGAAGACTATATATTATACAAGGGCGGGAATTTAGAATCTAATGATAACAGATACCTGTCCTTGGCTGCATTGACAACGGGAGGCAGTAGTTTCGAACATGTAATCTCTGCTCCCATCACAGGAGCAAGAAGAGAGGTGGCCCGAAGAATGGTCATCCTGTACAAGTAGTGCGGGTTGTTGAACATTTCCAGGACCTGCAACAAGGTAAATGCAAATGTCCAATTGCCTTGGAGGAAATTACCAGCAAAAAAGCACAGCAACAATAGGGAGAGAAGTATAGATACAGATACAGTGATGCCTATAGGCAGACAGCCAGAGGAGTAACACATGCCGGTAACAATAACAACTTGAATGTATCACTTGTAACTCCCAACTAACAATTTAATCCCATTAAAACAGGAAGGGGATAGTGGAATATGGAAGAAACCAAGTAAACCAGTGTTCATAAAAAAAATAATAAAAAAAAAAGAAGTAAACCAGTGTTGTTCTTAACCGAACAGAGGGGGAGACGAACCTGTGGGATTATGTGCTGCATTGCCCACTCAGGACCAAATTCTTCAGCAAGGCGCTTCAAATTATTAGCAGCAGCATCACGAATTGAATAAACCTACAGTAACACCGAGTGGATGGGCATGAGTTAACTTCAAAAGAAGGAACAATTGCAGACCATAAGACAATAAATTCAGCCTAACAATGAATCAAATAGGGCCAACTGGCGTATCACAGTGAGAATCAGGATTTCAGCAGATAGGCAAGGATTCAATATTAATGACTAAAAAATTAAAATTCACGTATTACCTAGCATGATACACAACCAAATAGGAGACTATTGTATCTAATCTAATAGATGTTGACATGATTGTAAGAATCAATACCTTGTCCTGCAACCACTGCATGCAAAGACTCCCAAGCTTATCATCAAAGAAACCAACACCCAGCTGGCTTGCCAGTAGAGGTATGTACTCTATTATTGCGAGCCTAACCCTCCAGTGTCTATCCTCGGCAAGCTCAACAATTGCTGGTAATAGAGACTGGGACAGAAGATCAATTCCAATAACCTACAAACACACAACATGATGTCAATGCATTAAAGATAAAATGCCGACATTTCAACAAATGCCGAAGAGAGACAGAAACACAAGCAGATATCAACTCCAGATCTGATAAACAGAAGAAAAGTATTTAACAGTCAACAACTGAGCAGGCAAATTATGTCGAACAATTGCATCTTAAATAAACCAAATGACATTGACTCGTCTCAGTGCAACATAGTAACTGTATCAAGGGTGATGATTAATGGGGGCAGAATCATATGACAATGAGTGAAACGAACCTGATTCACTTGATCAAGCTTGCTTATAATGTTGAGTCGCACATCGGGAAATTCATCTTTCAAAAGGGAAAGAAAAATCGGAAGAAGCTGCTCTATTGTGGCATCCTGTGATGATAAACAAAATGAACTTGATGATTGATTGCATTCAAATTACAAAAGATTAGTTCATCTGAAACCAGGAGTAAGAATGGCACATTCAAGTAAATAGCTTTATAAAAATATCAAGGCCAAATCAGCAAGTCTTTTCAATGTAATGTATCAATGCATATTGGTCCATATTATAATCCGCCAAGAAACCTTTAGAACAAAGAGCTTGAAAGTGAAGCGGACACAACTAGGAACAAAATCTGTGCGAGTCAAACATCTCACAACACCACTGAGCTAGATAGAGAACGTATTTGCTCCAAGAACTGGAAAACAACCATACAAAAATCCACATCTGCAACCATGCAGAAAATATCATAACCAAATTGTTCTAACCAAAAATCACAGCTAGATTATTACCTTCCCCAACACAGGGGCCATTCCCATTATCACTGAAGCCAAAGCAGAACGGACATGCTGGGAAGAATCTGAGGACAGTTCCTAATGGGCAGAGGAAGAAGATATTGTCAAAACAATGAATTGAAAGAAGTTCGGAGTTAAAAAAGGAGAAGTTGTACTTTTCACAATGATACCTTCACACAAGGAAGAATGTGCTGAACTGCGAGTTCAGGGTTCAAGATGCGACAGAACTTGGTTACTTTGCCAGCAGCAGCTATACGCACTTCCGCCTCATTATCACGGAGTAACCGAACATATGCCGGTACCAAGTCCGTCCTTAGAAAAAATAGAAAACATATATATAAGATACACACAGAGAAAAAAAGTACCTGAAGCAAAAAAAAAACACATTAGTCCAAAAAGGAAAATATTGTGGCCATGCGATCATCTCAAGTTAGAAAAATACTTGGTAGGCTCAGGCCCCACAGCTTCACAAAGTTCATACAATTGATTTGCAACCATGTAGCGAACACGCCAAGATTTATCCTGCATGTAGAGATAATGATATGAGCAAGTGTTAACACAAACAAAGAAGAGCATGAGCAGAAATAGACTAGGCAAAACTGAGAATATAGTTCATATTAGCAGATATTTCTAAGCTCTAATCATAGTTGCAATCTACGTTTCACAAATATCCAACAAAACGATTGAGATTTAATTGAAACAAAAACAAAGCAGTAGTAAACTATGAGATCCTCGCAAGCTACTAGGAGTAGGAACCCAATTGATTTCATCGGCTTAAAGCCTTGAATATATTAATTCTCTACATCTCGTCATTCTGTAACCAAAGATTTCCAATTTCTGGATAATAGAACAAGTATGAAGAAGTTAAAAAGACAGTCAATTTAAGTTGATGTTTGTCCTCTCCCTCAAGCGTTTTATTTTTCTGTGGGACTCTGCCTCAAGTGCTGGTGGTACTAATCATGACACAAAGATTTGTAACAACATTCTAAGCTTATTCAACAAATAAATAAATCAAAACATCAGTTACATCACCAATCATGCCACTATACCAATTCGAGTTACGAAGTACAAGTCAATTCAGGTTGATGTCTCTAGTCCTTAGCGGCCTCAAGTGTAGCTAGTCCTAGTCAAGACACTTGGAACAACTATCTATGCTTGCTCAGCGAATGGAGAAATCAAAACATCAGTTACATCACCACTAATGCCACTATATCCATCATCAATGTAGTCACAAAATATATAAAATCAATAGATAGAGTACATACCTGTGAAAAATTCACAATAACAGGGAGAACATGTGCAATACAATCCTGGGGCTCCAACAGTTTGCCAAGAGCAGCACAGCTCTCAACGGCCAACAAACGAACAGAATCTTGATCTGAGAGTAATCATTGTTATCAGAATTAAATCAGAGATCATCAACACTGAGCTTATACAAAGTGTGGGGAGCATACAACGAATTTTCTACAGTCGTCAAAGTTATTAGTTGTTTGTACCCAGGCTGGCAGGCAAAAGAGACTAACAAGTATCTACATAGCATAAGGTAAATTACCATCTTGGGTAAGATCCTCAAACATTGACATGATGTCAGTCTTCAAATGTGCTGCTTCAACAGTTGCAGCAAATTTTCCTAGATTGGTTGCAGCCGCCCTTCTGACCATTGGCATGTCATCTTGACAGAGCTGACTATATATTGAACGTAATTCAGCCTTTACCGTATCAGGTGCACTAGGATAAGCAATATGAAATAGCCCACAAGACGAAACACGAGCAGTAAACCATTCTCCAGCTGCCAATCTCTGAAAAAGAAACCATAAAAAGTAACTACAATGGTAACTGAAATACAATGCTGACAATGTGAGTTGTACATAACTGCATATCAACCAAGAAATACAGTTAATTTATCGGAACCAAGTCAAAAACACAACTCAATATATCCAAAACTTAACAACCTCCCGCTAAAAGGGAGAAATACACCAAGCTTTTCAGATATACAAGATCGACATAATGAAATGAAGTCAAGGAGAAATATCTGTAGACAATATCTAAACATTCAACATAGTGCAGCAGCACATATCTGAGAAAATTAGGAGCTAAGATTGACAAGAATCTGCTCTGGTCTAAACTTTCTTCTGAGTTCTTCTATCTTAATGTCAGAGTAAATTTAACTTACGAAATATAAGTACCTAACCCAGCACAGTGTAGACAAGCATTGCTCTTTGTTAATAGCCCAATAAAAGTACAATCACTTAAGAAAGAAGAACAGAAGCAAGAAGCACAAGACAGAAGTTGGGAAGTTAAGGCAAAACCAAGCAGCCAAGTAACTACAAACTTATTAGAAAACAATCACTGTCCTCAACAGAAGAAGCAATAAAGACAAGAAGGAATATACAACTAATGAAGCAGCAGTCAACTGTGTGATCAATCAACCTTTTCAAAAATCTCGTTCTCACCTTGACAAGAGGAATGAACCAATCAACCAAATCACTTTCCCTCATTTGAGATCCAATCCTACACAACGACTCCACAGCTTTGTCTCTGACACATGTCTCCTCAACAGTGCATAGTGTCTCCAAAGGTGGCAGTAAGACATGGGCATGCTCCACTCCACCAACATAAGGAATAAACACTCCCAGCTCTTCAGCCATTGCAAGGAGGACCTCGTCGTCATCATCATTGTTTTCACTCAGGAAAGGAATCAACTCCTTACGGGTTCGCTCCTCGCCAAGAGCACGTGCAATTGTTGACAATCTACGGATTGAATTCAGTCGTAACTGGATGTCATCATTCTTCAGCTCGTCTATGAGGACGGCGATGGGGTACAATGGTTCATCAACCATGGCCATATTCAAAGAAACTACAATGCAAGAGCACACAAATCAACAACGATTACTAAGATACAAGACTTTTTACAAAAAAAGTTTACATTTTTCTACCTATCTAGCTACCAAGAACAAAGAAGTCACAAACAAGCAGCCCGGTACCCTGTATCAGGTTAATAAACTAGGTAAGAAGTATGCATGTCTTAACTCAAAAATCCCATCGATTCCCTAATCCCTACCATTATCTCGCCAAAATCTAGGGATCCACGAAAAAGATACAAATCTAAATCCAAGTCCAGAAATTGAAAGAATGGACAGATGAGACGGGGGAAAAGGAAGAAAATATACTTGGCAAGAAAGCTCGCAACTTAAAATGACAGTAACATCAATCGAAAACCAAGAAATTCGAATCTTGCTCCGCTTTTACACAATTTTCTAGGAAACAAACAGAGGAATTGAAAAGCTTTAGAGTGACCTAAGAGACGGCCACTGACCGGGGAGCATATGAATCCAAACAAGAAGAAAGGTTCGCCGACCTTACCGATCCAAAAGAGTCGCCGCCGGCCACCTTGCCGTTTACAGAAAGCTAGCGCGAGACGAGGAGGATTTATGAATCTCTTCTGCTCGGTTTTCTTTTTCCCCTTTACAATTTGGAAATCTCCGACCCTTCTATTCTATTTCCTATTTTGTTTCTTGTTCACAGCTTTCATTTCCTTTTTCTTTGAATTTTCCACAGTTAAGTCAGGCTGGACTCTGGAGCGAGCCCATTTTCTTTTAAGCCCGAAAATTAAATAATAGTGGGCCATCGACTGGCCCATTTTGGATTCAACATTAACCGCCCGCTCTTTCTCCGACCAAACAAGAAACTCACTAGATTGAACTAGATCGTACCCCGGCCCGTTGGCCGGTTGCAATATGATCGATAATCGTAGATAACAAATGTTTCAAATTTAAATTCTAGTGATATTCTTTTCTTTTATAAACGCGCCATGATTATATGTTAATGCCATGCGAATTAAAAAGTAATTCTATCAATTTTTAAAAATCCCAATATAGTTGGCCATTAAGAAATTCAAATTATTTAATTGTTGAGAAAATAGAAAATGATCATTCATCATATATATTATTACTTTGTAATCATTGTCTTCTATATATGCAAATTCTGGTGGAAGTTAAAATTATAGGACTCATGGAAGGAATATCAACTCATAATAAACTTAATGACAACATTATTATAGGTATCAAAAATGACTGGTAACATTGTTTGTTAAGTTAATTTTTATCATAGGTTTATGATTGACTTGTCTCATAATTTTGCCTTCCATTATCAAATCCGTGGGCCCACGGATTTGTGTCTCTTAGCAAATGATGGATTTGAGCCAACTCCTTGACGCTTGGGATTTGGGTGCCAAATCCCACAAGCAAACAATACCTAAACTTAACCATATATGAAAAATAATTTTCACGACAAAGAATTCACCTCATTCTAGTCACAACTGTTGCTGGAGATCATTGATTATCTTCGAAATCTTAATTCTGTTGGGATTTGTGGTGTTCTAACCAACACATTCAAATCGTGATTCTAGTTAGAAGCGTTTTGGTGATCTAGAAGTGTAAAAGCATAAACTTTTAACCTTGAAAACGCTTTGACTGCATTATTGCACTATAGTCAAAAAGCGTGATTTTGTTTAGAATTAGTTTTGATAACCTAAAAGCGTAAGGTTTTAAGATTAAAAATGCTATTTTGACTACATCTTTTTAACCACTAAACCTGATGTGGAACTTAAATCACAATCTATTTTATGTAAATACTCCATTTCTTCATTTAATAAGATATAAGAGAGGATATATTATTCTTCCATTATTTTTAATAACTTTTCAGCATTAACTCTAAAAATCCAACCTTGGAGACAACAAACTCATGTTAAAAAAAAGATACAACAAACTCATATATAATTTGGTTGAATCCGCAACTAAACCAGAATCCTATCAGGCCGCCTCCGCCGCCGCCGATGCTTCCGTGTACCAATCATCCTCCACTGCCTAGAAACCAACACCGCCCCAAAAGACGAGATCTCGGACCTCGTCTACTTCCCCACGAACTGGACCTTCAATTCGATTCTCCAAGCCTACATCCGTAACTCCCGCCTCAACACTTCCTCCAGTCCTAAATATTAAAAATGTTGTTTATTGATAATTTTAGACAAACTCATATTAAAAATGTTGATCATTTTAAATTGAAATGAAAAGGATAAATATGATTTGGTAATGTTAGAGTATTGAAAATTAAGACGAGAATGTTCTAAGAGCATCCACATCAATGAAATTTCAAAATCAATTGCATATGATTTGTTTATTGTCATCTCAAATTTTATGCAATACAACTCAACTTCATTTCATTGCATCCACATCAATGCAATTCACTTGCAATTGCATATGAGGATTTAAGAGCATCTCCATCAATGCAATTGCAAAAGAAATTGCATTTGTGTTTTTTATTGTCAACTCAAATTTTTTGCAATTCACATCACATTCATTTTATTCATTTACATCAATGCAATTAACTTGAAATTGCAAATATAATTAAATATTATGTTTAAATTATAGAAAATTAGGTAAAATAGAAAAGAAAATAATATAAAATAATATTAAGTGACTTTATAATAAATAAAAATAAATAAATCAAGAGAGAGAAAGAGATTATTTTTTAATTATTTTCCTATGTGGTTGCATATTGAATTTCATTTAATGAAAACATGCATCTTTGCAAGTGGACACTACATTAATGTAATCCCCTTTCCAATTGCATATTGAGTGCAATGTAAGATATGCAATTGAGAAAAAACCATTGATACCGATGCTCTAATTGGAGAGCTCTAATTAGATGCCTAAGAAATTGTAATATAATTTATTATTCCCATAGATGTTATTTTTTAATTGATTTATGAAAGAAAAGAAATAATAATTAGTTGAGACGTGTTTAGTGATAATATTTTTATTTTTAAATTATTTATCAAATAGAAAATATAATAATTAGTTGAGACGTGAAGAGTGATAATAGTCACTTACTTGTCAATTATTTAATTATTAAGAAATAACTATTTTTAGAGCAATAGTCACTTTTCAGGGTTTGTGCATAGAGTTTGTTATATTTTTTCATAATAAATACTAATGTAAAAAATATCCTTTCTAAGTTTTCTCATGGAGCTAGAAATTTTGAATGGAGCATCTTTAGATGTAGAATCTCTATAAATAAGAGTTAGGAGAAAATACCATTGATGTCGATGCTCTAAGTGGAGAGCTCTAATTAGATGCCTAAGAAATTGTAATATAATTTATTATTCCCACGGATGTTATTTTTTTAAATGATTTATCAAAGAAAAGAAATAATAATTAGTTGAGACGTGTTTAGTGATAATAGTTTTATTTTTAAATAATTTATGAAATAGAAAATATAATAATTAGTTGATACGTGAAGAGTGATAATAGTCCCTTACTTACTTGTCAATTATTTAATTATTAAGAAATAACTATTTTTAGAACAATAGTCACTTTTATAGGGTTTATGCGTAGAGTTTTTTGCATTTTTTTATAACAAATACACATGATAAAAATATCTTCTCTAAGTTTTCTCATAGAGCTAGAAATTTTGAATGAAGCATCTTTAGATAGAGAATCTTCATAAATAATTGTTAGGAGAAAATACCATTGATGTCGATGCTCTAAGTGGAGAGCTCTAATTAGATGCCTAAGAAATTATAATATAATTTATTATTCCCACGGATGTTATTTTTTTAAATGATTTATCAAAGAAAAGAAATAATAATTAGTTGAGACGTGTATAGTGATAATAGTTTTATTTTTAAGTGATTTATAAAATATAAAATATAATAATTAGATGAGACGTGAAGAGTGATAATAGTCCATTACTTACTTGTCAATTATTTAATTTTAAGAAATAACTATTTTTAGAGCAATAGTCACTTTTATAGGATTTATGCGTAGAGTTTGTTACATTTTTTCATGACAAAAATATCATCTCTAATTTTTCTCATAGAGCTAAAAATTTTGAATGAAACATCTTTATATGGAAAATTTTTATAAATAAGTGTTAGGGGAAAATACCATTGATGTCGATGCTCTAAGTGGAAAGCTCTAATTAGATGCCTAGAAATTGTAATATAATTTATTATTCCCATGGATGTTATTTTTTTAAATGATTTATCAAAGAAAAAAAAAATAATTAGTTGAGACGTGTTTAGTGATAATAGTTTTATTTTTAAATGATTTATCAAATAGAAAATATAATAATTAGTTGAGACGTGAAGAGTGATAATAGTCCCTTATTTACTTGTCAATTATTTAATTATTAAGAAATAACTATTTTTAGAGCTATAGTCACTTTTATAGGGTTTATGCGTAGAGTTTGTTACATTTTTTCATAATATATACACATGACAAAATATCCTTTCTAAGTTTTCTCATAGAGCTAGAAATTTTTAATGGAGGATCTTTAGATGGAGAATCTCTATAAATAAGTATTAGGATGCTATTATGTTAAGACCAAGTTGAATGTTAGTCTCCAAATTTGGAGATCATCCCCTGTTTTACTCTTTAATGTTACATTCTCCCAATTTAAAGGTTTTATTTTTTATTTTTCATTACTTAAAAATATACTTATCATCATTTTAATCAAATTTGTTCATGTTAATTTTTGTATAATTCGTGATCATTTTTAAATACTAATTTTTCTCATAATTTTTTTTAATTTCGGGATAAAAGTTTTTGTCAAAAAAAGTTTGCCCCAATTTTTCTTTACACACAACACTTGAAAATTATTGATCTAATTTGGAGATCATCCCATTTTTTCCCTTTTTTTGCTCTAATGTTACATTCTTCAAATTTAGAGATTTTTTTTTCATTACTTAAAATTATACTTATCATAATCTTAATCAATTTTTTCATGTTAATTTTTGTATAATTCGTGATCAATTTTAAATAAAAATTTTCTCATAATTTTTTTTTAAAATTTTGAGATCAAAACTTTTGGCAAAAAATGTTTGCCCCAATTTTTCTAATTAATTCCCCAATTAAATCTCAATTAACTACTAAAATCATTAAAAAGAAGTCACGTGACGGGCTGGTGGTAGTCCAACCCACCAACACAACTCTCTCAATTTTTGGGGGAAACCCCATTTCCATCCCAAATTTGGGGATCCATTTGGAGATTGTCCCCAAATATAGAGACTTCCCCATTTATAGAGACTTCATTGGAGCCAACTTTTCTCCATTTATAGAGAACGCCCCATTTATAGGGTCTTCATTGGACTCAGCCTAAGTGCTAACACATTAAGAGGAAGGATGAGATGACTAAGGGGGTGTTTAGTCACTTGACTAAAGCCCTCCTAGCCCTTACATCTAGACACTTTAATTTAACGGTTAAAAATATGAATGGTTTTTTAATAAGTGATAGGATATTTTGGGTATTATGAAAAATTACGAAATATACAAACTGGACTTACAAAAAATACAAATATATAAACATTACAAATTAAAATGACAAAATATACAAACATATTTACAAATAGATTTACAAACAATACAAAACATATGAACTATACAAACAATACAAACTAGACCGACAAACAATACAAACTATACAAAATGAAAAAACAACCAGGTTGACTTTGGAGGCTCCTTCCTATATAGAGTGGTTTTGTCCCAATGTCAACCCGATTGTATTTTTTTTATATACCAACATTACAAACATGGTGAAAAAATTACAAACTAGACCGATAAACCATACAAAATGGAAAAACACCTGGATTGACTTTGGAGGCTTCATTTCTATATAGAGGAGTTCCACCCAAAGTCAACCAGGTTGATTTTTAGACATAAAAAACATTACAAACATGGGTGACAAAAATGACAAACATGGTGGACAAAAAAAAGCAAAACTTACAACTACTACAAAAGAAATGACAAACATTACAAAATAACAAAGCTTACAAACATTACAAAAGAAACCGACAAATAGAACAAAGCATACTAACCGTACAGATGATCACTAATTACAATACAAATTGGTAAACTTGTATTACAAACCAATGAATACTAAGTTTACAAATCATAACATAAAAGCGTACAAACTAGACAAACAAACATTACAAATTATAATATATACAAAATAGTCATATAAACATTACAAATATAATAGATAAAAAAGACAAACAAGAATAATAAACAATACAAACCGAATTGATATAAACATTACAAACTGAACTTATAGACATTACAATATAGGTCGACAAACATCACGAATCCAGCACTACCGCCGGAAAATCCTCTTCCGCCGTCTCTGATCGTTGAAAAGGCGACCGGAAAACCCTCTCTATCTCTCTCTCTCTCTCTCTCTTACAAATTAAACTTACAATATAGGTCGACAAACATCACGAATCCAACACTGCCATCAGAAAATCCTCCTCCGTCGTCTCTGGACGCTGAAAAGCCTCCTTCGCCGTCGCCAAAAAGTCGACCGAAAAACTCTCTCTCTCTCATCTCTGATCGCCGAAAAGCCTCCTTCACCGTCGTTAAAAAGCCGACCGGAAAACTCTCTCTCTCTCTCTCTGCCGCGAAAAAGGAAAAAGGGACGACGACGGGAAGGGGACGTCGGAGGCCTGGTCGCGTGGGGCGAATCTCTGGTCTGCGGTAAAATACAAGTTGGTCGTCGAGGACTGCGGAAGGGAAAAGGTAGCAGCCGGCCAAATTTTTTTATTTTATTTATTTTTTAATTAATAAATTAAATAATTATGTAATTACTACATTGGCCTTCATTAAATTAGATTAATTGAAATCATTAGATTTTAATGAGTTTGAAGGGTTGTGATTGCCTTAGTCAAGTGACTAAGGGACCCCCCTTAATCACCAGATCTTAGCCCCATGGGCTAAGATCATATGACTAAGGGGGGTCCTTAGTCAAATGACTAAGAGGTCGTTTGCTTTTGGTATTTTGCATATGTTGGACTTTATAATGAATCCATGTTTGTTAGCATATAATGGATTTTGTTTCAATCTGTGGGGTCCACTAATATTGGATTATTTGGAGCTAAAATCCGTGGGCCCCATGGATTATAAAATCTTACCTCTATAGCTAGGATTTTGGAAGATAGATATAATCCATGATGTTTAATGACCGTGTTACCCCCACTCATTTTGTGTAATCCAATTTTGCCCTCGGTTATTATTATCTCTACTGAGGACTTTTGTCTACACTCTCATCTCATCAACTTTGTCTCTTCGTTGCCAAGGGATTGCAACACAGCAAAAAGCTCCGGCAACCTTTTCCATCTCTGCCTATCGTCGTTTTGTCTTCCTTTTATATGAAGCTCAACAATTAATTATTTCATGCTTACATCCTCTTTTTTTATAATCCAATCCAAACCCTTGATTTTCCTTTCGACATTATTGGTTTGGGTTGAGAGTTTCAATTTACTTTAATGGCTTCTTGCGTGTATACAATATGACCAAATAGTATGGATGTTGCTGCCATTTTTACATATGCTAATTCTTCATGTATATACAAAAACATTCAAAATACAAGTAAAGTAAAAAGTGGTTCATTAAGGATAAGAAAGTAATTTCCCCCATCAAGCCATAATTCCAACCTACTAAAAGCCATTACCAAATCCTACAAACAAACATGGAAGTTTCAAAATCCAACATAATCTCTCATATTCAAAATCCAAGGTTTTATCATAATCCCTCATTTTCTAAAATCCTAGAAGCAAACGACCCCTAAGTGAATCTCAACCCTTACACCTCATTAAAATTCAATAGCTCAAATTATTCCAATTTAATAAAGAGCAATGTAGTAATTGCATGACTTTTTAAATTTTAATTATTATTTAATTAAAAAAACTCTATATTTCTGCCGCGTCTCTTCCCCGGGGGAAATTTTCCCGGCGTCTACCATCTCTTCTGTCAGCCACCACCATCCTGAGGAATTTTTCCGGCGTTCTTTTCCCTGTACCAGCCGGCGGTCTATTTTCAATTTCTGCGGCTTGAGAAATATATCCCCCCTCCATGGAGTTCGTAGCGCAGAGAGAGAGAGAGAGAGAGAGAGAGAGAGAGAGAGAGAGAGAGAGAGAGAGAGAGAGAGAGAGATTTTTCGTCATTGGCAAATTTTTTCGGCTGCGGCAAATTTTCCGACGATGAGAGATATTCCGGTGACAGCGTCTGTTTTGTTATTTTTGTCGCGTGATTTTATAATATTTGTAAGTATGTTTTGTGATTTTGTATCAATTCTATTTGTATCATATTTCATTTAAGTTTGTCATTTTTATCTATTATGTTTGTATATGTTTATAAGACTAATTTGTATACATTGTAATTTGTAATGTTTATTTGTCTAGTTTGTATACTTTATGTTGTGATTTGTATAATTTGTATTATTTAATTTGTAATACAAGTTTACTGTTTTGTATTGTATGTAGTGACATTTTGTACTATTAGTATGTTTTGTCATGTTTGTAGGTCTAGTTTGTATTGTTTCTATAGATCGTATGTTTCGTATTGTTTGCAAATCTGTTTGTATGTTTTGGCGCTCTAGTTTGTATTGTTCATATGTTTGTATGTTTTGTCGCTCTAGTTTGTATTGTTCATAAGTTTGTATGGTTTGTACTGTTTGTAAGTCCGGTTTGTATACTTCATAATTTTCCATTATACCCAAACTACCCCTGTCATCAATTAAAAGCACTTCCCACTTTTTAACCGTCAGATTGGTCTGTCCAGATCTAAGGGATGGGAGGGGTTTAGTCAAGTTACTAAGCACCCCCCCAGTTACCAGATCCACCCTCCTTGCCTCATGGCCTCTCTACGACTCGTAGTTTATCTCATTCCCACCAATGGTAGAGTTAGGTTGAAGTTAGAAGGGACTATAGTCTCGCTAAATTTTGAGATATAGGTAAAATTACATTTAAATTTGCACAAATCTAGAAATTAGAATAATCGGTAAGACTTTATCCCCTCCACCAATTACAACAATTCAAATCAGCACCTCTCATTCGAATTTTTGACTTTGCCACTGATTCTCATAAAAGAAGGTGGAAGAAGGTGGAGGAGAATCCACTACTAACATCCTCTGCAAACCTATCATTCTATGGTTATTAGATTTACTATTTTCCCAATTACTACCTCTTGAACATCACCGCCGTAAAACAAAAGATTCCATATTGTAAGTGATCCATGAAGATGACAAAGTCATCTAAACTACTAGATTGTAGATGCAGTCCCTCTTCCAAGAATGAACTACAATAAAAACACGAATTATTTAGGTCTATATTTTTGCCATAGGTATTCCCGCGGGAAACAGCAGACATACGTCAATATACAAGACGTATGCAGGTTAGGCTACTAAATGAAACTAAGAAAAAAACGTTGGTTGACAAGTGTATGATCCAACTCAACAAGGGCCTTCTACATGTTTATTTTGTGTGATGGAATAGCTTTGTGCTGGCGGTGTCAATTTCGCATTGTGTTTCCATTCACAATAGATGGAGCAGAGGGATCGATTTTTCGGCATATCGGATACAAGTTACAAGCAGTAGCAAGACTCTTCATATGAGAATGAAATCTGGAAAGAATGGTATTCACTATTATATCCCCATTAACAAACAAATCTATCAAACGCTTCTGTAGATAGTTCACTACTATTTCCCATCTAACTATCAACCAGTTGTGCCATGGAATGGGCAGTCCTATTATACCTTCGCGCCCCAAAATGAAACGTTGCACCCTGAAAAGATGTACGCAGCACCTGGATTTCTTGCAGGATAGCTCCGCTAATTGCGCGTGACAAGTCTCTCGCATTAACCAGTCGTATGACAACCTGCGCATCACCACAAAACAAAATGTTAATGTATGATCCGTCAAACACCAACGAACTGCATCCCATAGAGCAAGGAGCTACATTAGGAATGCATCAAATATGAATGGGTAGTATCGGCTTAATGCAAAGGAGATAACTTTATCCCCCGCAAATCCGATGAAACCAATGGCTCCACCCATGGTAGCTTTAGTAGCACCATCAAAATGCGCCCTGAAAGCTTGTAACGGGATGGGAGGAGGCAGGAACATCCAAGAGGAAGAATCATCACCAGAATTGATTAGCCGCCTCGACGCATGCCTCGGTTGTGCATGAGCCAAATCCCACTCAAAAACTTGTGCATCAAAATGTTGGATTAGAGTGGTAGGCAATAACTGTAAATGATCGTAGGTAGCAAAACACTTAGCTTTCCATATGCGCCAATACATAAATACTAACCAAGCTAGCACCTCCATGGATAAACCTACATCAAGGAACAACCTACGCCACTCAATAGCCATATGCGTTAGTCGAACAATTGATAAAATATGACCAAAGCCCAACAAATTCCATAGCTCAATAGCAACACGACAAGACAAGAAACAATGTTCCAGAGTTTCAACCGACGATGAACAAACGGGACAAGAAAAAGCCTCAAAATCCTCATCATCAATCAATCCCTTATCATGCAAAACATCTCTTACCGGAAGAAAGCATTTGACCAAATGCCACAAGAAAATTTTGAATTTAGAAGGAATTGGTAGAGGCCCATAACAACTTACATGCACGAGAATCGAAGATTATAGGAATAGTGGAAGTGTATTTGACAAATTCTGAAGAGGCAAGACGATACTCCGATTTAATATAATACACCCCAGAATTCTCATAATGCCAAATAAGTCGATCAGACAAAGGAAAGACAGAAAGAATAATCAACAATATCACAACAACAGATGCTCCATCAAACAACTCACGCACCAAATCCTCATTCCAGGTTCCTGTACCATGACGGATTAATGAAGAGACATTATGCGAAATCAAAACATTATGCTTCATCAAACAACTCACGCACCAAATCCTCTTTAGATGAACTACTAATCATCTTGTTTTCAATTTTCATGTGATCATGGTAGTTTTTTTTTTATTGACCAAAGGAAATTAAGTCTCTGTCAATTAGTTCATTTTTCTGTAAAAGTAAAAGAATTGTACCAACAAATAAACTAACAAAGTAACTAAGCGAACGAAAGTATAAAGTCTATCAATATAATTGGTTTTCAATTACCACTACTAATCCACTTAATAGGAAAGATAGAAACTATCACACGTCCCAATTAGTCGAGATATACTATCATACTATTACAACGTACGTACTACAACACAAAGCATCTTTTAAGCCTAGTCCAGAACCCAGGACGTGGCACCACATTCCCACCAAACTGCTCTTCTTCAACGTCCTTGAACCTCGCCTTCTCACCAAGCTCCTGAAACTCGTCCACCAGGTTCTGAAGCCTGGCCACGAACTCAATCAAAAGAGAAGCAAACGTGGCCAAGGAAAGAGAGCTAGCACTCTCGTACACCTTCGACTCCTGCTCCAAATTCGGCACCGGCCCGCCCACGAACGAGATCCTCGGCCACGACAACGGCGGTTGCTGGATGCTCTCGCACGACGCCGTCCACTCGCGCAAGCTACTGCTCCGATCATTGATGGAGTGGATGGCTCCTTCTTCGTCTTTCCCATCTTGGGCCTCGTTTTCGAATTCCTTATTGGGCTGTTGTTTCCTGCCGGCCCAGCTCTCCGAGTTGACCAGAAGGTAGGATTTGAGATCCACTTTGGTTTGGAGCTCTTCTGCTGCCTCGTGGACTTGGAGGAGTAGGTCTGATCCGGGGCTCAGCTTCTCCATTTTCTCTAGCTTTGTTCCGAGTTCGCGCAGCACTTTGGCTCCTTCGTTTCCTACTCTTTGTAGCTCGGCAGCAAAAACTTTTCTTTTTTCTGGTGGTGCCTGCAATATGAAGAGGAAGGCATGCAGTACTACTAAGTTAGAGCACACATAATATTTTAGTGCTAATACCAAATTCGAGCCGTTGAGAAAGTGTCCAAACTATTCAATATTTACATTTATGTCCTGAACTATTTTTTCATAAGTTTTGAGCAAGTTTGACCGTCAATATTCAACAAAAAATTCACTCACTGTCAACGTGGCATCTGATATGGAATTTTATTAATTTTATCTAAATATTCATCTAAAATGATTAAAATAAGAAAAATAAAAAGTTATAAAAAAAATCGAATTCGTCTTAATCGCTCCATCGATTCCGCTCCTAAGTCAACATCAAGTTCATCACCATCTAGTCAACCGTTATCTATAACGGTTAACGAAATTGTCAGGACATAAATGACACGCAACTTGTCATAAACCAGTTGGTCCCAATAACTCGGTTTGTTGGTAGAGATTCAATCGTGGATCATATACCACAACACTAGCATTCCCCCTCAAACGAAAGCCACTCACAAGGGGTTTGAAGTTTGCACAGGTCTGAAGACAGGAATACCATGTGCTTAACAAATGGGGGTCACCGGGAATTGAACACAAGACCTATCGGTCACAGAAAGCTCTGATACCATGTCATAAATAACCAGTTGGTCCCAATAACTCGAGTTGTTGGGAGAGGTTCAATCGTGGATCATATACCACAACAGTAACACGACTATCATATGTTAGGAGATAAATGAAAGTTGAATAGTTCGGAACACAAAAGACACTTTCTTGATAGTTCAGATTTCCCACCGACATTAGCATAGCAGCAAGAAAAATATAAGGAATTCGTACATGCGTACCTGAATTTCAGAAAGAATGCATCCATGCATAGCCATGACCATGAAAGCACAATGCCTCAACGCTCCACTTACTTTCATATAATTTTGCCACGGATAACAGAAGAACCCATAACGACCATGTGGTGGCTCCCATATAGCAAACCCTAGCTGCCAAGACAAAAAAAAAAAAAAAAAACACATTCAAAGTTTCAAACATTCATCCTTCCTCCCACATATATCTAGAGCAACACATGCATGCATGCAGTCAAAACATTACTATATTTTGCGTACCAATGCTTCCTCTTGACTAGTCGACTGCACCGCAGATCTGTACCCACTGTACACAGGGTCGTCGGAGCCTTGGTATATCAAGATCTTGGAAGGAATCCTCTCGTACTCCAAACACTGCAGGTAACCATTCACACAACCTTCCAGCGAAGCAGCCACGCCCCTGAAATTCTTAACCACCAACTTGTGGAGATCCTCGCCGGCCCATATCGGGTATATGCATATGTTGACGAGCAAGCAGACCCCGGCGCCGACGCCGATCAAGAGAAACCGGAAGATCGCCGTTCGGATGAAGGACGAGTCGATTCCGGACACCAGTACTATGCAGTATGTCAGCAAGAACACCCGGAATCCGTACTCGTATTGCTTTATGGGTGGATAGAGTTTGGCGTAACTCGCACAGAACCCGGAGATGAATATGCTGACTATTATGGCTACTTCTTGATACTTTCCAAAGTATACGGACAACTCTGCGTTTCCCAGGGCAAGCGCCCCGGCTGAGAATGTGCCCAGGCCGCGATTCAATCCTTTGCTCAACGTGCCACCTGCAAAAAATGAGGAACATCAAACATCATGTATCTAACAAATCAGTTTTAGTTTCCTTCCGTATTCTACTATGTTACGATTTTTTTTTTAAGTGCAATTGATTTTGAATGGAAGTTAAAAAGATTTTGAATCCATTCAATTGACCCGGACTGTGCTAGTATTATTCGTGTTGTAAACTATTAAATATGACAAATTTGGCACGAACTGTTTTTTTTTGTTAATGTTGAGTGGCGTTGACCGTTAGTATTTAAACATAAAAAATCTAGTCAGCTTCCATGTGATTTGTGCCTGATTTGTCATATTGAATAGTTTAGGACGTCACAAATGTCACGGAACGCATATAGTTTGTGCCAGATTTGTCATATTGAATAGTATAGGACACAAACAACACTTTTTGGATGGTCTGAACTTCCTAGTGAAATCAGCTCTTAAATTAAATGAACAAAAACTCAAATAGTGAACGACGAGGATAACTTTATCGTGTAGATAATAATACACACTAGTTAATTTGTTATATGACTTTTTTTTATTCAATAGTTATACTAGCACAGTAGCTCTTCATATATATATATAACTAGGTGGTTTTTGTAACAACACTAGTCCAATTCTTCCTAGTGCTTAATTACATTCAATCAAAAAGTGAGATTAGAGTTTTTTTTGTATAATAATCATCATAGCTTATCAATTTTAAAAGTCATATAAATTAAACCTCTTCATCTCACTATGTATTGGAATAGGAATTGTAATTATATAAAATTAGATAATTATATAAAAAATGTCTAATATTTTTGGTTTCGATAACATGAAAGTTACGTAATTTCTCAGACCTAATTAAGCTAAGAAAAAAACAAGGCAAAATAAGATGAAGAGCGTTCTCCACACTCACCCACAGTGAACTCAAAGACCACCACGACAGTGATAATCGCCCAAATGGAATACTGGCTGGCGTCGTTCAAATGTCTTCTCATGATCATAAGCATCGAAACAGTGGCCAAAGAGAGACCCATTTTGATGGCGAAGAACACCTTCCTCGGATCAGATTTCCCCATCCTGTAAAGGTCGACCAATACGCTAGGGATCCCGTTGAAAAACCCGATGATCCCGTCGGAAAGTGATCGGAAGCATCCACAGTTAACGTTAGAGTTGCCACCTTCTTCATCGTCGTCGTCTCCGTCTTGGGAGTTGTTGAACCCGAATTCGGAGTACCCTTTTCGTGATAGCAACCTCTCTTTGCTCTTTTCCTCAAATTTGTCGTGTTTGGTGATTCCCTCGGCGGAGGCCATCTCTCACTCGGGAAGAAAAACTTTCTTTCTCTTGTTTTGGTGAGATTGAAGATTTCACCAATTTGAGGCATTCAGAAACAACTCGCTAAACTCGGATCTTGCTTTGCAAGTGAGCTTCTTTTTATTTTTTTTATGTGGTGTTTGAAACTTGTAATTGGTTTTGTGATGGTCGGGGGAGGGATTGTCGCTGACTTCTTCGTTGGTTTCTTATTGTTTGTATGTATTTTCAATCATTGGTAAAATTTTCATCACAGTCTAGTATATGGTCTACTTGGAATTTTCAACTCACCATATTACATATTTTTTTTAAAAACAATCTAGACAAAATTGCAAAAATGGAACTTTAACCCAACCTCCTCTGTAGTGGATTGATTATATAGGGCTGGCTATTTGGTCCGAGCTTTTTGGTTTTATGACTTTATCCAAAATCGGACCGTAGAACCCGGACTGAGACCAAACTGGAACCGGATATCAAACAATCCAATACAATTGTCGGACCTAGATTTGAGGTAAAAAAAAACCATTTGGGACCAGACCGAAAATCGGATAAAGACCGAATAAGAGAGTCCAACACCCAAAATTTAACCTCCTCACCCTTTCAGGCCTTAGGCCACTCAAATCCCCCCTCAAGCCATTCAAATCCTCACAAGCTCAATTTAAAATCAAGACCGAATTGGAACCGGATTGGTTCAAGACCGGACCGGATCAAGATCGGATTGTATCCAATATAATCTTTGGTCCTTATATTCTCGAAAAGACCGGACCAAAATCGGATAAATTCAGCCCAATTTAACCGAACCGGACCGTATAGCCCGTATTGATTATTTGAATGTTGTTTCTTATGGAAAAGTAATTCTTTGGCTTAAAGAAAAATGGACTCTTAAGATTGGTATAGCCAGCGGTAATATAAAAGGTCAATATTGACCCCACATGGCCACATGCACCTTTCCTTCGAGGGCTAACAACCATATGATAAGAATAAACTACCAAATGCTTCATTATGATTCATAAACTGTTACAATTTCAATCTCGGCAGTTCCGAAACAATTATTTGAGATATTAACATGAGATTAAATCATTCCCCTTAATTAATGATTTAATTAAAAAGAGTCAAAGAATTTTATTTTCTTCTTGTTCCATCCTCCCTTGATCCCATTTTAGCCAACACAGATCGCCACGTGTCGGAACTCTAACATAGAGTCCGTCGTCTTTAGCGACCCAGTACATGTTGCGATCGTACTCGTACATTCCGGCGACGTGATCCGTCCACGCATCAAAACGGAGGTGGTGGCTGCCGTCGGGGGCCACGTAGCACCAATAGAGAGTCGACACGAAGGCAAACCCCGGCCTGAACCGCCACGTAAACTCTTTGGTAGGGGCGATCTCCTGGACCCCGAGATCGCTGGTGGCGGACTTGCAGTGGGCAAGCAACACCTTACCGCCGGTGAGCTCGTTGGTGACGTGTACATGGTGGTACGGCCATAAGGAGAACGCCGTTGCGGTGGTAGCAGAGAGGAGTAGGTTGGCGATGATGGTGCTCAGAATTATTACCGTACTTGAGATAACTCTGTTTTTGCTGCTTCCCCTCCCCATATATAACAAGTATAATAGAATCGTCTTGTCACTAAATATGTATTTTACTGTATATATATGAAGTGTAAAACCGTTTGGTTTCTTTAAGGAATTCAATCAATATGTTGTTCTTCACTAAATATACATGCACATTATAATTTATATAGACAAATACATGTCTTGAGTAGTTAATGGTGCTGATAAGTTTTCATAATAAAGTATTGAAGATATGGCAATTATATCTTATCTTATTAATCTATATTATGCAATCGGCAGGGGTGCCTATTATTAAATGTTCTACTATTTCTTTCCCTTCCAAAAAGGAAGTCATTTCCCTAGAAAAATAAGGTAACTTGTTAGTATAGTTTCTTTTTAATTTATACATGAGATTGTGTTTACATAATAACATAAAAAAAGTAGTTATAAATCTTAAAAGGTGATGTTGAAATTTGTAGAGAGATAGGGTGATGATACTAACACTTTTAATAAGGGTATTATAGTAAACAGCGGCGGATCCAAAACACAAAAGAGCACTAGGCCGCATTTCATTAAATAATTAAAACCGTAAATAAATATAATGATTTTTTTTTTGCAATATAAAATGTACACTATCAGATTTTAATTTAGAGAATGCAACAATAATGGAGTCCATATCCATACCAATAGTATAAACTGTTTAAAATAAAATACTTGAGCAATCGGCGAGAAATTTATCGCTCATTTTATTGCGCAAATAAGTTTTTACATATGTTTCATTTTTGAAAAAGTTCTCCCGATAGTAGCTGTTGAAACGAGCAGCGTCAACACTAGACAAATCAATCTCGCATTGTGTGTCCATCCCTAGATTCACCAACTACTCTAGTAAATTTTCAAGGGAAAAATCTCATATTTCTTCTAGTCTTTTACGTTTTAGAATTTTAGAATTTTAGATTTTATTGTTTTTTTATAAGAATAATCTTTGGGCTAGAATTTCTAGTCTAAATAGAATAATGATTGAAAAATGTCAATTTAAATTATTTTCTAGTTATACCCAATTTTATTATAAAATAACATTGAGCCGAATGTCTAATATCGAAAAATTCATAAGTACTACACTAATACCAGATCCAGATAAGGGCTGGGTCGGGGCCCGGGGTGGCCGGGTCCGGATCCTATCAGTAACCGACCTATCAGTAACGGTCAGTAACCGTTCATCTGACCGTCCATCGCGCCATCTTCCCAACCGTCAGATCATGGCAATTAAATACACGCGGGGGCAAAAAGGTAATCACGCGTTCTCTCCTTCTGACAATTTGAATTGCAGACGTGACCGCGACAACCGTCCCGCCTTCTCTCCATTCTTCCTCCCGTTCCTCTATTCTCTCACCAAAATCGCAGCAAAAACTTCCAGAAAAAACTTCAAATCGAACGATTTTCGCAAAGCTTTTCGAAGAATCATTCAACGAAACTCTTCGTCGAAAAACGAAGGGTTTCCAACTTCAACGAGTCTCAAAAATCGTTTTCGCACAAAATATCAAGGTAAAACCTCACTTCTTTCTTCGAAATCCATCCATAGAACAATAGAAACAGTATTTCAGTCACTCTTCATGTGAAAATTGTAGTAAAACTTGCTACATTACCGAATCGTTAGCATGCATTGCTGAACTGGTGTAGAATCTGTTGTGTTTTGCTTCGTTACCACATGGTATGGCGTGGTAAACTATGATTGCACGTTATAAAAAAGCAAAAAACTATGTTTTGCTTTGTTACCATATGGTAATGTGTGGTAAGCTATGGTTTCATGTTGTAAAAAAGCAAAAAAACCATAAGTGCTGCTGTGTTTTAGTTTGTTACCATATGGTAATGTGTGATAAGCTATGGTTTCATGTTGTAAAATAGCAAAAAAACAATAAGTCCTGCTGTGCTTTAGTTTGTTACCATATGGTAATGTGTGGTAACCTATGGTTTCATGTTGTAAAATAGCAAAAAACCATAAGTTCTTCTGTGTTTTAGTTTGTTACCATATGGTAATGTGTGGTAACCTATGGTTTCATGTTGTAAAATAGCAAAAAACCATAAGTCCTGCTGTGTTTTAGTTTGTTACCATATGGTAATGTGTGGTAACCTATGATTTCATGTTGTAAAAAAGCAAAAAACCATAAGTCCTGCTGTGTTTTACTTTGTTACCATATGGTAATGTGTGGTAAGCTATGGTTTCATGTTGTAAAAAAGCTAAAAAACCATAAGTGCTGCTGTGTTTTAGTTTGTTACCATATGGTAATGTGTGGTAAGATATGGTTTCATGTTGTAAAAAAGCAAAAAAACCATAAGTGCTGCTGTGTTTTAGTTTGTTACCATATGGTAATGTGTGGTAAGCTATGGTTTCATGTTGTAAAATAGCAAAAAATCAATAAGTCCTGCTGTGTTTTAGTTTGTTACCATATGGTAATGTGTGGTAACCTATGGTTTCATGCTATAAAAATGGAGGAAAACATACGTCCTGTTGTGTTTTACTTCGTTACCATATGGTAATATGTTATAAGACATGGTTTGATGTAATTACCATATGGTAAAATGAGATAAATATATGGTTTGATTTCGTATGGTAGGAAACCATTATCGTACCATATGGTAAAAAGCATACTAACAGACTATTACTAATTTCTACATTCAGGTACACTATGGTAAAACCAAGACACAGTTTTCGCACAAGGTGCAGCCCAACAAGAATATCTGCAATTGCAAGGTCAATAACAGATGAGCGGAAAGAGCAACTTGACATATTAGGCCTAGCAGGCTTAATATCAATCAAGCAGACAAAGATAAACAACCATTTTGCACTGTTCGTAATGAACAAATACGATCCAGAGAAAGAATCGTTCAAGTTACCTGACGGGACACACATGAAGATATCACCAATCGACTTTCATAGGGTATATGGTCTGCCGATGGGGGATAGGGAAGTTGTACCTCCCACGATTTCTTGGGATGACGCAGCAGATTATGCAGTAGAAACCCTACTCGAAGTAGATGGAACATCCACTCCAAGGGTAAAGCTAAGTCAGGTAGAAAAAGATCTTCCTACAACCAAACTGACTAAGAGATGGATGCAATTGTTCTTTCTGCTGGTCACCGGAGGCTTGCTGTGTCCAACTTCAGCACCTATGGCTGAACTCAACATGCTTGAGTACTTGAAGACCGAAGAACTGAAACATTTCACCAGCTACAACTGGTGCAAATACTTCTTCAAACACATGAATGAAGGATTGAAATCACCAAAGCTCTATGTCAGTGCAGATCTTCACTTCCTTACAGTAAGTCTCCATTCCCTTGGCCATTTCAACCTTGTTACTCAGATATTTTATATATAAATGATACTCTTTGAAAAAAACTAATACAACTATCTGCATAAAAAGGTATGCTTCATGTACAAACTGGACGAAATGGCATTCTCAACCCAGCTTCGAACACCAACAGTAAGCTACTATGATGATATCAATGTTGATAGCAACTTTGAGAACATTAAGAGCTACTACAATGGAAAAGAGTTGAACGAGATCGAAAAGCTTGCCAACATTAATGACGATGAGGCTGATGGTGCAGCTGATGAGGAAGAGGAGAATGAGCCAGTCTATGAATCACCGAAAAGACAAAGAAACAAAAGTCCAGACCAGTCATCATCACTGAACTTTGATTTGAAGAATATCAGAACAGTCAACCAAGTAAGTACAAATTATCTATATTACAGTTGTCCAATTAATACTAAGCGTAAGTCCTTTTGTGTTTTAGTTTGTTACCATATGGTAAGGTGTGGTAAGCTATGGTTTCATGTTATAAAAATGGAGCAAAACATAAGCCCCTGTTGTGGTTTACTTCGTTACCATATGGTAATGTGTGGTAAGCAAATGGTTTCATGTTATAAAAATGGAGGAAACCATAATTCTTGTTCTGTTTTACTTTGTTACCATATGGTAATGTGTGGTAAGCTATGCTTTCATGTTTTAAAAATAGCAAAAAAACAACAAGTCCTGCTGTGTTTTAGTTTGTTACCATATGGTAAGGTGTGGTATGCTATGGTTTCATGTTATAAAAATGGAGGAAAACATAAGTCCTGTTGTGTTTTAATACGTTACCATATGGTAATGTGTAGTAAGCAATGGTTTCATGTTATAAAAATGGAGGAAACCATAATTCTTGTTCTGTTTTACTTTGTTATCATATGGTAAGGTGTGGTAAGATATAGTTTCATGTTATAAAAAATGCAGAATAGTGATAATAATTGCCAATACCATGTATTACCACCATGGTATCTTACAAAAACTCCCATTATGCAGGCTGAGAATGCAATCAAACTGCTTGCAGCATCAATGAAGGCAATGATGAAAGCAATCAAAGACCAGTACAAAAGCCAAATTGACAATCTGATCAGACACAAGGAGAATCTTGCGAAAGAAAGCTGTGATGAAAATGTTCAGCCAACAGAAGGAGAAAAATTTCAGTGTGAAGATGATGAAGAAGAGAATGATGAAGAAATGAATGCCAGTTTGAATAAAACACTCAATGAAATATTCAAACAGGCAAAGATAGACCAGAACAAAGAGGAGAAGGAGGAGCAAACACAGAAAGAAGATGATTCACAACCATCTACAGTCGATCTTGCTGCATCTACACCGAAGCCAAAAGAAAAGGAGCAAGATGTTTCTGATCCAGGAGCTGTGAATAGGGAAAGCATCCCAAAAGAAGGAGGTCCACTGGGGGAAGTTGCAACAGAACCACCAGAACAATCTGTTCAAGAAGGTCTGAATCAGGGAACACCACAACAAGAGGACACCCCGAAAGCAGTTCCAGAACAGACATCTGCAAAAGAAACAGGAGAAAAAGGAGCTACCAAAACAGCAGATCCAATGGAAGTTGATAAGGAAACAACAGAAGAAGGGAATACAGGGCAAGCTGCGCAAAAGACTCCAGAAACTGACAGCGAGAAAACGGTGTCAGATGATGTTGTTCGAGAAGAGGCTCCAAAACTGACAACCAAAGATGCTGAGAAGCCTAAAGTGACAAGGGAAGACGACATTCCATCCTTTGATCTCAGCCCTCTCAACCGTCAAACACCAACAACACCAACGAAGTTGACTACCAACACGGCAACCGATCAACCAGGAGAGCCTCGCAAAAGAAGAATCGTGGTGAAGAATTTGAATGTATATGAAAAGAAGGCAAGAACAACACCACCACCAGCACACCCACAAAA